CTCTCAAGGGTGTGGGCTGAGGCGTTAGTCACTGCCAGCCAGCAGCGGAGGGCTGGGCGGGGGCTCCCCCACCCTTTGCTGGACCCCAGCCTTGCCTCAGCCAGTGGGAGAGATGGACGTCAGAGGCCACAGACAGCCACTTGTTCTTTATGCGACTCCTTGACTGTCAACTCCCACAGGTGCCCCATCCGCTTGGACCACCCATAGCTTTCCAGAACCTACCCACTCTCACAAGATGCCCTACACCTCAGACCATGAAGAGAGCTTGGGCATCATTTCCCCACCCTGCTACTGTACAGGGAGGAAACTGGGGCCCGGACAGGACCTTTGCAGAATTTGACCCCTGGTAAAGAGGTCAGGAGCGTGGACACTGAAGCCACGTAGACCTGAATTCAACTCCCAGGCCTCTTGTTTATCTGCTGTGTGTTCTTGAGCAAGTGGCTTTACCTCTCTGAGCATGAGTTTTCTTACACATAAAATGAGGCTCTTCATAGTATCTCCCGGGTATAAAAATTAATTGAGGGGATCAAGCAGTGTCCTCTTGTGCCCTCTCTAGGCTCTATTGCTTCAGCCAGTTTCATTTTCATGAAATGTTTATGCTGGAGGCTAGCTTAAAGTGGGGTTTGGGGTTATCTCAGCCATCTCTGCTATTGTTCCGAGGTTGCATCTCATTGGCTGACATGATCACATTCTCCCTGAGCCATTCATGTTCTGATCAACCAGTATGAGTCACCCACCCACTTGTAGAGTTGGAGGCGGATTCTGCTCCAGTGCATTTTAGGGACTGGGAATGAGGGCGGGTTAGCTCCCGGAAGAAAAATCAGGTAGGGTGAGATGTCGTGAGAGGGCCGTGATTTCTATTACCAGTGCTCCTTCTAGCAGAAACTGTCTTGTTCACTAGAAAAGGACCTCCCCTAGAACATGAGCTCAGTAAATAATGGTTGAATGAACGAACAGGGACTAAGCTGGTTTCTGGCAGCCTAGTGTAGTCAAGAGAACACTGGACGGGGTGGGTCCTGGTACGCCTTTGAGCCTTAAGTCTGCTAATCTGGGAAATGGGCATGATGGCGACCACCTGCCTTAATGGCATGTGGGCGGATTAAAGTTTGGTATTTTTAGTACTTAGCTGCCAAGCATGTTATCAGTTGTGGTCTATAGTCGTTTATCTTCAGCGATGGCAGGCGGAGCAGGGTGCCCCCCAGGGAGGGCTGGTTGGGAAGAGACTTGGAGTTTAGGCTCTTTGAGCAAGGTGGGGCTGCATTTGGATCTGCTTCCACTCCCCGCTTGCTGTGTGACCTGAGGCAAATCACCATGCCTCTCTCAATCTCTGTTTTCTCATCTGTAAATTGGGGTTACTAATACTTATCTCCAAGGGCTGGATGGAGGATGAAATGAGAGATTCCATTTAAGGCCCGTCCTGGCACACGGTGAGCACACAGGCCGTGTTAGCTGTTTTTATCATCAGCCATTATTACGTCTTCTGGCACGGAGGTGAGTAGATTGCTGCCTCAACCAGACTTGTAAAGAATTTAATTTTGGCGAAGTCACTTTATGCACCACGACTGCTGCCAGCTAACCCCTTTCTGGCAGGCTCTGGTCTCTGTAATCCGAGCGAGGTGCTGGGCAGCGGGTGTTCCTCGGTGTTGACCCTGGCACCGGCTGGAGGCCCAGCCCTGTGGTCAGTGCTGCCTTTCAGGGTGACGGGCAAGGCAGGTTTTGTGCGCTCACGGAAAACGGTCCCTGCCTGGGCCTCCCTCACTCCTGGGAGAAAATACTGGTAAGGAAACCCGGGAAGAGGTGCCATGCAGCCTCCTTGACCATCTCTCAGGAGTGTAGGGTGAGTGACTGAGGGAGTGGCTTTTGCCCCGCTCAGTTCTCCCCTGTGCTGCTCTGGCTGGGGGGCTGGGAGAGCATGGTCAAGGTGGTTGCCGTGCTCACCCGGGCCCCACCTCTGGCCACCCCGCTGAGCTTTCCGACCTTCCTTCTGGTAAAGGAGCAGAGCGGGCCTTACCTCCTCTTCTGGGTCTGGAGAGGAGGGGGAGCGAGAGTGGTGTACAATGTGAAAGAGTGCTTTGATGGTCCTCTTGCGGGCACTTAAAAATCAGCCTTACCGGAAATGAAAGGGCAGGTACACAGTCAGGTGTGAGAAAGGGAGTGAGTGTGTGCCCGCGTGAGTGAGCACCAGAGCACAAGCGCCCAATGGCTGAAATCGTGAGTTTCTCGGGTGTTCTCAACAAGCTTTCACGACTGAGTTTATAGGAGCAGCCCCCACTCAGGTGGGGCGAGTGAGCAGGTGGGTTCTAGCACAAGGACTGACACTGGGTTATGGCCCCCTGGGAAACTCTGTCTCCCCGCCCCCGCACTCGGCTCCTGGGCCTCATGAGGAAGGGACCATGTGGAGGAAGGGTGTCCCTGCCGAAGTGCAGACCTGGGAGCAGGCGTCCCGACCGGCCCCGTCACCTCACCTGTGTTGGGGACTCTGCTCAGTCTCCTCGTCTGTGCATGAGATAGTAAGAGCACCAGCATTGGGGGGTGCTTGAAGAGATAAATGAGTTAGCACATGCTGGAGTGTAGACTAGTGACCTTGATCAATGGGAGACCATTGTCATCACTGCGTGGGGCCCTGGGGATTTTGCAGCTCTGTTAACAGAAACAGTTACACGGAGAATAAATTTGCAAATGAGCTCAAAAATGGCCCATTGGCATACTCCCTTCCACAAGGTTCCCTGGTGGGGTTTGCCGCCCCCTCGCAGTTACCCCACCCTCCATAAGCATGCCCTCTAGTCACTGGCAGTAGAGGGCTGCGTCTCTGGCTGGACCTTGAGGCCACGGGATGGGCCACTCTGTCTCTGCGGGGAGGGTGCCCTGTGCGGGGCTGGCCTGGGAGCTCTCTCGTAGGTTTCTGTGGGCGTCTGGTCTTAGGGCTTCTGAGTTCTGGAGACGATCAGAGACCTTGTACAGCAGTGGAAAGTGCACAGGGTCTTGGAAGTTAGAGGACCCAGGTTCTAATTCTGGTGCCACTATCCTAGTTCCAGCCATGTCCCCTCTCTAAGCCTCTAGAATGGGGACACTGAGGTGCTGGGTACTGCGGTGTCATGTGAGGTGATGCTAATGCTCATTGTCATCCTTGGGGGTGCTAGGCATGCAGGAGCATCT